CTCCCGAGGACGCTGGGCTGAGCACAGGTTATCAGGTGGGCGCTGCAGTGGGCCACCAAGGGGCATGGGTCACCGAGGGCGCCATGACGGGTGGTCCTTCCCTTTGCCCGCACGGCTCTCATCAGCGTTATGAACGAATGTCTACTGAAGGCCACGTGGCGCTGAACACCATGGAAGCAGGACACAGAGATGCAGGCCTCACCCTCGCTAGGAGAGAGGGAGAGCCCCTGTCACAGGATGATATACAACTGGTGCCTGGTCAGTGATCAAGGTCACAGGTCTAGGCCTGGCCAGGTGGGGGATATCATGGGGGGCTCCGTGGGGCAGGGGTTACAGCAGCTCTTATGGGATGGATGGGGCTTGGACAGTATTGGATGGTTTAGTAGGAATGAGTCAAGCAGAACAGAGGGGCTGCCTCTCCTAGAGAGGCAAACGGCGTGAACCAGGCACTGGTGTGGGTGGGGCGTGGTGTGTGTGTGTTCGGGGTGTGCGGGAGGGCTGGGACTGGCCCTCATGGAGGCTACCCGGGGGAGGAGGGACGTGGGCTTGCGGGGACTGGAGGATGACCAGACTCTGAGAGCCAAGCGTTTGGACAACAGAGTGTCTTGGATGGTTCCGGAAGGTGAATATTGAAGCCTTGTTTTAGACAAACATGCTAGAGGCGCCCAGGCCGATTCGAAGGGCTTTCCCCGCTTTCTCTGCTCCCCCTCTAAGTGGGCAGCGGAGCCTGCCTTTAGATTCCTTCTAAATGCTGTCGGCTTCCATCTGTCCGCCAGCAAACATCTGTGTTCCGTCAACGATCTGAGTATCAGACACATACACAGTTGAGTCTTGAACGACAAGGGGATTGGGGTGCCTCGTGTAACTTTACAGTCTGGCCCCCAGTCTCCTTGGATTCAGCCAGTTGTGTAGGACTGTAGCATGTATTTACTGAAAAACATCTGTGTATGAGTGAACCCGTGCCGTTCAAATCCTTGTTGTTCAAGGGTCAACTGTACTACAACATGCGGCGTGTGTTTGTGTGCACGTGCGCCTGCCTGCATGCAAGTACCTCAAATACCAGCTACACGCTCTGCGCTGTCCTGTGTCAGCCTCTAGTCCGGAGTCTCCCCTGAACTCAAGACACATATAGCCTGCTTCACATCTCCACCTGGACCTCTCAGTCATCGTGAACTTGACACACCCCTTAACGAGCTCCCTGCCTGCTCCCCCCACACCACCCAGCCTGCTCTTCCTCCAGGCCGCCCTCCCAGCACTCCATTCTCCCTTCTACTCAGGGTGAAAACTCTGAGTCGTCTCTGACACTTCTTTCTTTCACACCTGACACCTGATTCATCAGTGATCCTGTTGGCTCCCCTTGTGAAATATATCCAGAATCCATCCACTTCTCCCCACCTGGCACTCAAAGCCACCCTCACGCCCCATCTGGACCACTGCAAGTGATGGCCAACTGGACTCCCTGCTTCTCCCCACTGCAGGCCGTCCTCAGCATCCTCTAAAAACAAGTCAGGTCACTTCACTCCTCTGCTCAAAACCATCAAATGGTTGCCCTTTCCCCTCAGCGTAATATTCCAGGTGCTTACAAAGCTCTCCATGGTCTGGTCTGTGGTACCTCTGTAGCTTCACCTCTGACCCAGATCACTCTGCTCACTTTCTCCTCCTTTACCAGACAGCTGGACATCCCTTAATCAGCGAGCACACACCCGCCCCAGGGCCTTTGCACCAGCTGTTTTCTCTACCTGGAACACTTGCCTTCTGATATCTGCATGGCTAGCTCTTTCATCCCCTTCAGGTCCCTTACCACAGAGTGGGAGGAACTCTCTATAAAATAATAGCTCTGTCTCCATCATTCTTTTTTTTTTTAATAACCAAGAAATAAGCTTCATATCATGGGGTCTTTATTAAAATACCAAAACACAGGAGAACTTTTAATGAAACATTTCTATTCCAGGGACTTGCCCAAGTATTTAAAATAAATTTCTAGTTCTCCTGAGTTTACAGAAGGATTTCATCTGCTTTTGCAGTAATGAGGATAAGAAACCAGCTCTTATCTAAGAAATTTTGTGAGCATTTGCAATAAAATAACCCTCTATCATTCTTTTATTCCTTAACTAACCCTGCCTGTTTCTGTTTTACTTATCACCACTTGACATTATTCTTGTGAATTGTTTTCTCCCTGCTCTTAAGGAAATATGTGAGAGCAAAGAACTTTGTCTTATTTTCTGATTATCACCAGAACTTTGAACAATTCTGGCATTTGGAAGCTGCTCAGTAAGTGTTTGCTGGATGAATTAATTTGTTAGAGGTATTGGGGGGTCTGGACTGGGAAGACATTGCGTACTATTGTGGTAATCTCCACGTGGTATGGTAAAGACATAGACTAGAGGGGGGGCCTCAGGGGTGTAAAGGAAGGAATAAATGGAGAAAGGGTATTTATTTATTCATTTTTCTTTTCCATTATGGTTTATCACAGGATACTGAATATAGTTCCCTGTGCTATACAGTCGGACCCTGTTGTTTATCCATTCTGTATATAATAGTTTGCATCTGCTAACCCCAAACTCCCAACCCATCCCTCCCTGACCCGCTTACCTCCTTGGCACCTGCAAGTCTGTTCTCTGTATCTGTTGAGTCTGTTTCTGTTTCGTAGATAAGTTCATTTGTGTCCTATTTTAGATTCCACATATAAGTGATCTCGTGTGGTATTTGTCTTTGTCTGACTTACTTCACTTAGTATGATAATCTCTAGGTCCATCCATATTGCTGCAAATGGCATTATTTCATTCATCTTTATGGCTGAGTAATATTCCATTGTATATATGTACCACATCTTTATCCATTCATCTGCCGATGGACACTTAGGTTACTTCCATGTCTCGGCTATTGTAAATAGTGCTGCTATGAACATTTGGGTGGAGTATCTTTTCGAATTACAGTTTTGTTTGGATATACGCCCAGGAGTAGGATTGAAGGGTCATATGGTAGCTCTGTTTTTAGTTTTTTGAAGAAAAAACCTAAAACTTACAATAAAACTCCGATGTTACAGTTTTATTGTACCATAGAATATTAACCAGTTTTGTATGTAATTTAGTGCAATGAACTGAGTTTGTGTCCCCCGCGAATTCACGTTGAAATCCTAACCCCCAAGATGAGGGTATTAGGATGCGAGGCCTTTAGGAGGTGATTAGGTCATGGAGATGAAGATCTGTGCTCTTATAAAAGAGACCCCAGAGAGCTCCCTCACCCCTTCTGCCATGTGAGACAAAGTGAGAAGACAGCTGTCTATGAATCAGGATGGGGCCCTCACCAGACACTGTATCCGCTGGTGTCATCATTTTGGACTTCCCAGCTTCCAGAACTGGAAGAAATAAATTTTTGTTGTTTATAACCTCCTTAGTCTATGGTATTTTGTTATAGCAGCTGAACAGACTAAGACACTTAACTTATCTCAGCATTTTCTTTCCAACTGACTCTACATCTCTGCTCTTCAAATGCTCTGAGAAGCAGCTTTCCTGTCCCGTTGATTCCCTCATTAACGGGTTGAATAAATGTGCTTAGTATATATATGAGGGTATGAGAGCCACGTTTCTAATATTTTGAAAAGGATGCTTTGATAGAGGAGATAAAAAGTGCTAGTTATATAAACCCAAAGCTACAAAATGTCAATGTTGCAGAATATGTGTAGAAGACATAAACCACTTTTCCCCCGTATTTCTATGTTTTAGTATATATTTCTCATAGAGGACTGTTCAAAAGGTGGGGAGAGAACATTACTGTCAATTCAAGACCAGCCATTTTCCTCTGCTCACTCACTTCCTGTTTTCTTTTAATAAATTGTCTTTAAAAACATGAAGAATGTACTCTCCTACACTGTTGGTGGGAATGTAAACTGGAGCAACCGCTATGGAGAACAGTATGGAGGCTGCTTAAAAAACTAAAAGTAGAGCTACCGTGTGATTCAGCAAGCCTACTCCTGGGCATATATCCAGACAAAACTCTAATTTGGAAAGATACATGGACCCCAATATTCATGGCAGCACTGCTTACAGCAGCCAAGACATGGAAGCAACCTAAGTGTCCACTGACAGAGGAATGGATAAAGAAGATGTGGTACATATATACAATGGAATATTACTCAGCCATAAAAAAGAATGAAATAATGCCATCTGTAGCAATGTGGATGGACCTAGAGATGGTCATACTAAGTGAAGTAAGTCAGAAGGAGAAAGACATATCATATGGTATCACTCATACGTGGAACCTAATTTTTAAAAAATGATATAAATGAACATGTTTACAAAACAGAAACAGACTCACAAACATAGAAAACAAACGTATGGTTACCAAAGGCAAAAGGAGGGGAGGAGGGATAAATTGGGACATTGGGGTTGACATACGCACACTATTATATATAAAATAGATAATCAACAAGCACATACTGTATAGCACAGGGAACTATACGCAATATCTTGTAATAACCTATAATGGAAAAGGATCTGAAAAAGAATAGATATATAACTGAATCACTTTGCTGTACACCTGCAACTAACACAACATTGTAAATCAACTATATGTCAATAAAAAACCAAACAAAAACAAAAAAACATGAAGAACGTGACCCAGCTGTGAGCCCTGGCTGGGCCCTGCCAGGGCCGTAATTGAGATGGGGGTGCGCTCTGCCAGGACACCTCCTCCACCACCTTCTGGGGTCCCAAACCAGATCTTGTGGTTTGCTTGTGGGGCAGGGGCGCCGGGCTGGGAGTGAGGAGGTGTGAGTCCTTCCATCTTCCATCAGTTAGGAGATGGAAGGTCTTAGCAGAGCTGCCGTGTGCAGCAATGCAGAGGTCGAGGCTCCCCAGTATTCTACACGTCCCTCTTCTCTGGGGTGGGTGCCCCCTGGAGGCGCCCCCGTTCTGCCCCAGATCTAGCTTTGTCTGCAATTCACGCCAAGGTTGCGCATAACTTCTTTTTATCACTGTGGGCCTTCGTTTCCCCCTAAGCGCCAAAATGGAAAGCTTACCTCCTTTATCTACCTCCTGGAGATGTGGAGACAAATGAGAGAAAGAAAACTTATGTGGAAAAAACTGAAAAACGTTACCCAAAAGTTGGAAATAAGGATAAAGGATGACTCCGTGTCCTTTCAATGTCCTACCAGAAAAACCTGCTTTGTAAGTATCATTACTCCAGATGGGAGAAATCCACGGGGGCTTCAGTTGTGGGGTCCTCATCACCGAGACCATCCTTTTATCTTTAGGAGGGTGGCGGCAGGAGGATAGGGGCTATAGCGATCTAGAATCGGTCTCCTTTTGCATTTCCTCGGGCCCAAAGTTGAAACAGGGTTCCGTTCTACGAACCTCTGAAAGTGGTTCTTCTTTGTCTAAAACCATTTACCGAACATTAACAAAAATCACCTGTAAGGAAAATAAAACTGAGGGGACCTGGCTATACTCTCGGTCCTTGAGCTTAAGTTTCTGAGGCTGTCCAGATGGCGGGGGCTCTGGTAGAAGTTGGTTCTCCCAGGGGAGTTCGTTTGAGGCATGGATCCACTTTCCTGGCGGGGAAGGGCTGCAGCCCAGAGCCGACAGGGCTGGACCAGGTGCGGGGCAGGGGCGGGGTTACTCCGTGAGTCCATGACAGACTCTGGCCTGAGAGCCGTTCGTCCTAGGGTTCAGGGGAATCGTGGAACATGCTGTTTTGTGCAGACACCTTCTCTTTCTCAGTGTTGCAACTTTTAAGGGTATTTGTGTCCTGGGTCTCATTTAAAATGCTCCTTTTTACAAGGTGCTTTTGTTAGGAGCAAAATCCACGGATGGTGTGTTTCTAACCTGCTGTGTTGTTCACCTCATGGAAAAATGGGCTTGTTTTGCATTATTGACTCAGTGGAAAATATTACCTTGGTGGGGATGGAGACGGGGTTACCATTTTAAGAAATGGTTTTTTAATTAAAAAAAATTTTTTGGGGGCCGTGCCACAGGCCACGTGGGATCTTAGTTCCCCAACCAGGGATCGAACCTGCGTCCCCTGCCTTGGAAGGGTGGAGTCTTAACCACTGGACCGCCAGGGAAGTCCCGGGGCTACCATTTTTGAAATAACTACCTAGGTTTACCTGTGCAGGTAGAATGCAGCATCTCCTATTAACCACAAATGGATTTTGAAAATTTACACAGAATGTGATAAATGCAATGGGGATGACTCCTCTCCCCTTCCCCATTCCTTCCTGGGACATATATGTATGTATCTACCCTCCCACACCCCAACACACACAAGAGGACATTTTTGAAATATGACGCGATACTACAAAGAGGCTCTTTTAGCATAAAAGCACAGAGGAACCCTGCTCTGGTGAGTTTAATTTTGCAGTCTGATTGTCTTGTGGTTACTCTACCCTGAAGCTAGACCACAGTGAGGGCCTCAATCTCCCCACCCGACCACACCAAAGTAGGGGAACGGGCCACGGGGAACAAAAGAAGAGCTCCCCCCCGCAGCGCCCACGAGAGGGTGACCACAGGAGCCTGGCTTGGGGTGGGCAATGACTGCTTCCAACGCCCCCGTCCCTGTGGGTGCTGTAAGGGTTGGAACGTATGGCCTGATGTGAAGTAAAGGACGGTCCTGTGCATCCATCTGGGCTCTGAGTGTGCTTGAATAGCTACCGGCAAAGTAAACCGTTGGAGATGGACGATTACCCTCTCCCGGCCGATTGGTGGCAGCGTGCTTGGTGACGTGGCTGGCCAGTCAGACATATTTCCACCAAATAGCCCTGCGAGGAGGGAATGTTGCTTTGACCTCGTTGTAGCACACTTCTCTCCCCCCGTGCCCTTCACCACCTATCTATCCCGCTGGTAATCTTCTAAGTTAAATTTTAAAAGTGAGTCCCCTGGGGCTTCCCTGGTGGCGCAGTGGTTGGGAGTCCGCCTGCCGATGCAGGGGACGTGGGTTTGTGCCCCGGAGGATCCCACATGCCGCGGAGCGGCTGGGCCCGTGAGCCATGGCCGCTGAGCCTGCGCGTCCGGAGCCTGTGCTCCGCAACGGGAGAGGCCACAGCAGTGAGAGGCCCGCGTACCACAAAAAAAAAAAAAAAAAAAAAAAAAGTGAGTCCCCTGAGGCCGTGTTTTGGAAACTGGATTCAGTGAAAAAGGCAGCTCCCTGGGTTTTGATGGTCTTTCTCTCTTGTTTTTCAGAAGGAACGAAATAATTCATTATAGGCTGAGAACTGGCCGGCGATATAGGTTCTGTGGTGGAAGGGTCTGGCTTGGATGTCAGGTCGGTGTGGGCTGGGATGCTAGCTATGCCTGGGGCCCTCAGGTGCTTCCTATGGTAGTTGGAAACCATCCTTTTGTGTCTGCTCCCCAAGTAAAGCACCGAGCTCTGGGTCTGGCTCCTGGGGAGGGAGTTCTAGTCCCGGAGGTCATGATTCCCATGTTGCTGGGCATTGCGATACACTAGTCGCGCTGAGTCAGTACAGCAGGCCTTGGAGGAAGACCTGGATGGAGCCTTGATGGAGAGAAGAATGTTCTCAACCTTGGCTCTAACAGGCAGGAGCACAGAGCTCCCCAAGGCCTCAATCAGGAAGACCGTGGGGCGGGACACCCTGGGGCCCCGGGCTCTCTGGAAGCTCCGCCTCCTTGGTCCAAATTGGTTACCTACCCAGACTGAGCAGGGGCTCGTGGCAGAGGGTGACTCAGGGGGAGCAGCTTGGGGTAGAGGTGCACAACCATTGCCAGGAATGAAAGAGGGCGTGGGAGGGAAACACAGGCCCTGATGCCTTGGAGTGGGTTTTGAAATTGGTGGGTGAATTACTTGTTCGTCTTTTGAGGTGCGTCAGCTGACTCAAGTGGTCTTACAAAGCCAGCCCTGCCTCTTTCACTTCAACGGGCTCTTGGATTTTGTGGATGACCAGATCACAGTCTTCTAGGAGAATACTTCTGAGGTGGACTCAGTAAGACTCGAGTAGTATTCGGGGTGGGTGAGATGCGAGGGGGGAGGACTTGCCCTCTGGAAGCGCTCTGACCGCAGCAGTGCGCCCTGTCTGCCCATCCCGGTGTCTCCGTGGCATCCTCGAGGCCAAGGCCCCTGGGGGAATGTTTGAGCTCTAACTGGAAGCATTTGCCTTTAACTCAGCCCTGAAGGAACTTAGAATCTAATTTTTTACCCTTTTTTCCCCCAGAAATTTCAGATATTCTTGAAAACATGGCATCATATACTATATATAATATGTACTTTCCTTGCCATATGAGATATCTCAGAAAACACAAAACCAATCCTACACTAAAAACTTCCGTTGACTCTGACATGATGAAAACACATCTTCTGAAAACCTCAAGGTTTCTCTATAGCCTTCCAGTCCCAATAGCTGTAATTCCTTATTCTTCTCATCACTATTTTCTAATTTCCTTCATCATCATGGGCTTTATCATCGGCAATTTTTCTTAATCAAGCTTCAAGTTTACAAAACTTTCCTTTACGCTTCAGCGGAGCAATTTGGAAGACATTGTCCGCAACGCGAGGAAAAGAATCTAGGCCAATCCAAACTCAAAGAATGTTAGAGGAGTCTTAGATGCTTTTGATTTTTTTCCCCAATTTTTTCCGATGCTTTTTCATGATAAGCTTCCTTTGTTTTCATCAGTGCTTTGCCTTATTCTCACATACTTTGATTTTTTTTTTTTAAATCAAGCTACCAGATTGATATGACTGTCCTGAATGCAGAGGTTCTCTTGAAGCAGTTTCATCACTTGCTATTGATAAACTTATCACAACCAAGTCCTTCTATCAGAGGACTGGTAACTTCAGATGCAGTCAGAGCTGTTGTCAATGTTAAAACATCAAAATCCATCCTCTGAGGGTTCTCCTGATGTTTGGCGTCAAATGCTACTTCCCTCGCTCTGCAGGCCTCTGCAGATTGCCTGCAGCCTCCTCCAGGCTCCTGGATTCTGCCTGGAGCGATCGGATAATGAATTCCTAAGACGCTAAGTGGGTGATGGAGGCTGAGATTCTGCAATGCGGCCAGGCCTGGGCGGTTCAGGGACCCGGGCCTGGGTGTGTCCTCAGCGCCCGCTGCCTCTGCCGTCAGGCCTTCCCTGGCATCCTCAGGGTGCCTTGTGCAGGCTCTCGCCTGCTTCTGCCTCCTGGTACTTGCGGGATATTGCTGCTGCAGGCAGCTGGGCCCTCGGGGTCAGCTTGTCCCTTCCCAGAATAACTGGAATAAGAGGACAGCACGACTGTGGGTGTGCACATGCCCTAGCGCATCTCTGTAGACTTCTGTAACGTTTGCAAGAGTGAGGACTTATCTATTACTTGAATATTTAATAAGTACATAAAAAGAAAACAATTGTATAAGAATAAAGGGAGAGAGAGTATGCAGCAGGCCCAGCAGAGGGTCGAGTTGCCCTTGGTGAGTCCCCTTCCAGAGCGGGCCTTGTGCGTCTGGGAAGGCTGCTCTACCTTGACTCAATGCTGGAAACACCGGGCTCCTAGCTGCTGAGAATCTGATGCTCATTTTTAAAAAAATGTTTTTTTAATTTTTTGGTCACACCACGTGGCATATGGGATTTTAGTTCCCTGACCAGGGATCGAACCCACACCCCCTGCATTGGAAGCACAGAGTCTTAACCACTGGACTGCCAGGGAGGTCCCCGATGCTCATTTTTTTGCTGTAGCTGGTGCTGTCCTGGATCTGTCAGAGCCTGACTGCGGAGCTGGAGGAGGGTTATTCCTTAAGGCATCTCTGCCTCTCCTCCTGGACTCACCCACCCAACCAGGGTGGCCTCTCTGAGAACCCAAGGCAAGCGCCGGACCAGCTCCCATTGAAGAGGCAGTGCGTCTGCACAGCCGGCCTGACAGCTTGGACCCATGGGTCTGGGTTAAGAGCTTGTGTCTCAGGGAAGTGCCTGTTCCTTGAGCAATGAGATCTGCCCTCTGCCCTCCTTCACCCAGGCATGTGGAGCCGGGAACCCCCAGCAACAGAAAGCAGGCTGGTGACGCTCAGGGTGAACATAGGACGGCCCTGGGCCACCAAAGGTGGCTGGAGCTGCAGGATGGCTGCTGCCGGCAGGACTCCAGGCAACTGCAGAGTCACAGGGAGCCAAGAGCACAGGTGGGGGCCCTGAATGCCCAGCCGAGCGGGCTGAGGGACGCAAGGCATTTCCTGCACACACCAGTCGCTTCTGCTAAACCTGCCAGCCTGCCGACGGCAACTCGTCAGCTTGCAGAGGGCACGTTACGGTTGGGTCCAGACTCTGGGAGACAGTGTCTGCCCATCCTCGCCTCCCTTTCTCCCTCTCCTCCGCTCTCTCTCTCCAGCCTAAGTTGCTGTTGCATCACAGGAGTCGTGGACACGCTCGACTTTGTGCTTAAGAAAGTCTTGAGGGGCTCTGTTGATGTCTTGCCACACTGCTGGTGACTGGAGGGACACGACCCTTTGGTGAGCTGCCACTCCAGCTTGGACTTGGCTCTGTGTTGATCCTGGGCATCTGGCCGGTTCCCGTGTTGACTTGACCAGGATGAGGCAGTCTGCTGCCACATTTCAGGGCGATGGGGTGGCCAAGAGCCTAGGATTTGGAGTCAGCCTGGCCTGTGCTCAAATTCTAGCTCTGCCATTTACCTGCCGGGTGACCATGGACACTCAGGCTCTTTGTCGGTAAAAGGGGGGAATAGTAGAAGCCACGGTACGAAGTCACTGAGCACGGAAGGAGATCACTGTTGCAGAGCCTAGCTCAGTGCCAGACACGCAAGCACCCGGAGTCATCAGCTGTGATGAAGGTTTAGCGCATTCAGGGACGAGGTGGGTGTATTTCTGGCTCACTCCTCTGGGGCAAAATTCCCTCTCAGTTTGCCCCCTTCCCTCCCATCCCTAGACATGGACTTTTCCTTGAAAACTTTGAAGGGTGTTTTTTTTACTATTAGGGAATTGAGTCCGATGCACCCACAAACTTCTTTATTAAACCAGCAAAGACAGATGGCATGGTGGCTGCCCCGTCATTCTGGGGTCACTTCCCCGCCTCCACAGGGGCGCGCGTGCAGGGGACCGGGAGTTAGAAGAGCCCTCTGGGGACTTCCCTGGCAGTGCAGCGGTTAGGACTCTGTGCTTCCACTGCAGGGGGCCCGGGTTCGATCCCTGCTCGGGGAACTAAGATCCCTCGTGGCGTGGCAGAAGAGTCCTTAGGCCGCTCAGGCCAGGAGGAGAGCTTCACTTGACCTTGTCAACCCGGGCAGGGGGTGGCAGGAGGCAGGAGAACTGTGTTAGGACCCATGTGACCTGAGCCTGCTGCCACCTCACTTGGTGGGGGGTGGGGGGAGGCTTCCTTTTCCCTGGAAAGTTCTTTTCAAGTCTTAAGAGTGGAATGAAGACTCTCCACATGGTTCCCCTGTGCTGACTCACCTGTGGTTTTCATTCCCAAAACCTCCTCTGCGGTGTTTTGGTTCGGGGAGGGGTGGGGCGGGGAGCCGTGTGGGCCCCGCTTCTCCCACGGCTGAGCTGGGCCCGCCTCGCCCTTCACCTGACCTTGCAGGGTAACATCCTGGCGTGTGGTGTGCTGTTTCCTAGTGGCCGAGAAAAGAAATGGAGAGTGATGTGCTCTTTTGCATCATTTCGAACATTTTTAATTCAACAAAAACAACCACAGCAGAACCAACCTTCTGTGGAACACACCTTCTAGAAACACCTCGTGCTCTCCTGAACTCATCGTACCCAGATCCCATCTCTGGGCACTGCTCTCACTCAGCTCTGGGACAGGCCTTCCCTGCCCCATGAATCCTTCCCAAGCCGCTGGCCACAGGGCTTCCTCCCCCACTGGTCAGGGCGGGTGTCCTACATCTTCCTTTTTTGTTTTTTTTAATTGAAGCTATAGTTGATTTAGATTGTGTTAGTTTCAGGTGTACAGCAAAGTGATTCAGTTATACATATACACATATTCTT